AATTGCCAACACTGAAAAACGAACCCCCCCCCAATAGAAAGCTGGCTACGGGCCTGCTGTATTATGGTATGCCCAGAAGGCGGTTGGAATTGGTTTGCTGTGGATCACTGAGTAGCTGCTGAGCATAGAGAGCTGTCGCGGTCAAATGATTTGCTAAAAACGATAGTATATCTGCAGATGTGAATTTCTGTTGCATGAAAAATTTCTGTTTTTTAAATTCACTGGGTGTGATTATTTTGAGGTTATTGGCAGGTGGACAAAAATGTAAAAGCAAACGTAGAATGTAAATACTGCTGTACCAGTTAAGCACAGAATAAAATGCATAAAGCCCGGCTCCCACACATAAGTAATTTTAACCAAGTAAAATGACGCATTTACTCACGCGTCATATTTTCAGCGTCTGCTGCAAACGTGAGTAAAATTACTCAAGGAATAAGTGGTAATGCAGATCGCGTGACTGTGCGCAGCCAATACTGGGCGCACAATGATTTAAACGCATGCGATGTGAGTACCAGTGTTGAGTAAATTTACGCAACTAGCGCGCACACGTTGAGTAAAATGCCGCACGAGTCAAAAATTATCAAACACGTTTGATATTGAGTAAAATGACGCATGCGTCAAATTACTCAACGAAAATCCGCCTCACACGTGAGTAAATTGACTCATGCGTCATTTAGCAACTTAGCCAACTATTCATAAAGCCGGCAGTGATAGGCGTGCGAGTTAGCATACTAGTACACGTTTGTAGAGTAGGTATAAAAACAAGGCAGTAAACCGCACCGGGGCTTTGGTATTCTATAGTGTTGGTAAACATGCGCAATAGTTCGACGTACGCTGAAGGATCGGCCTTGAAGTCAGCTGTTTATCCCGATAGTAGAATTTGTGTTATCGAACACGTGACACGTTGCCGCGCAATGCGTGGTGGGAGTCTCAGGGGCGTGTACAGGGGTGGGGGGTCCAGGGGGTCCGGACCCCTCCCCCCCCTGCTCACGCAGAAAACGCATCTGAGGGGGTCTAATTTCAAAAATTTCTGGGGGAGAGCCCCCCACACCCCCCTCCCTTCGCGTGCTCCCAAGGTTATGGTTAGACCCTTCCCTGGTACAAATCCTGTACATGCCCCCGAGTCTAGTTCGTGGAGCAGACCCGGTTCGGGTGTTCGGCAGTGTGAAAGGGGAGCAGTCTAGTACGCAACCGTTATGTACAGTAGCACAGCGGGGAGGCGTCATTGAAGTCAGCTGTTTGCTCCTCAGCTGGTCAGCATCTCGATGACCACTGGCTATTGAGCAGTGACCGACATTAGCGTGGGTGTCTGTGTGTACTGTGTAGGCACTGGCCCGATAGTAGTGTGTGTGGCCTTCATGTAGCGTTGTTATTGGCCAGAGCTACTGACCAGTCTTGGCTCGTGTGTGTCACTATATATTCTACTGTTGCTAGGCAGTTTGGCCCTACGTGCATGTTCGTGCGTCACCTATCTGCATACAGATGCAGTCAGCACGGTACAATTAGTCCAGTAGCAGAACCAGAAAAAATGGTTCACGTAGCACCACCACTACACAATTGTTTTGACATCAGATTCTGATAGACAAATACCTACGGAATAAGTTTAGTGAGGGTGTACTAATGAATTGTGGGGTCGGGAGTGTGCTACATGACGATTTTTGGAGGGGTGTGGGGTCAAATAATAATGAAGTCAGGGCTGCCAACATTGGGTGATAGGTGAGAGTGTGAAGCGACCGAGCGGGGGGTGGGTGTGGGAGGGGTGTTTCCCACCTCTCACGGTAGGAAGCTTTTGCATTTTATAACTTCAATTTGTGCAATATGGTGCCTACTAAAGTGACTGTTTTCAGATATTGTAAGATTTTTTTTGCTGTGCGTGAGATATTTCAGCGTTTTATTCATGAAGAGATATTGTAAGATCAGCGTGAGAGCGTGAGATTTGGTCAAAATGCGTGAGTCTCACGGTCAATGCGTGAGTCTCACGGTCAATGCGTGAGAGTTGGCAGCCCTGTGAAGTGAATGTACATATGGCGCCATGTCAACGCTTGTAATGGGTATATCTCTGGAACCAATTGTCCGATTTGACCCAAATTTGGACTGTGTATAGAGATCCAGCACCTGAACAAAATAAAGTTATCCCCGGACCCGTGGGATGCTGCTATGGCAACGGCTGCTAGGGGCAACCATACAATATACAGGAGAAAGTCCTGATTATGTATTCAAATGAATTGTTCAAATATTTTGCCTCTGAACGATGAGAAAAAACTTTTCTTTGAATATTCAAACCTCAAAACGAGTAGTAAGGCAACAAAAAACTAAAATATTCTATTGACAGTAATTGTAGTGTTGAAAAAATGTATATGGTGTAGATTTTGTAGATAGTCACATATATATAATTGCTCAACTGTTGAATGTGAAAAAAGTCATGTCTCTCTACTGAGTTAAACTGTACATAGCTGCAAAGGTAAAGAACTAAGGGAGGCGTAAGGGAGACGTACCGAGGATCATTTTTAATGTGGTTTTAAATTGTTACCATGGCAACTACGGCTGCTCATAGGGTCTATATAGATGTCCCCCAGGGTACTGCCGGAGCGTACCCTGGTAACTATTTGATATGGTTAGGGTTAGTGTTAGCGTTAGGGTTAGGGAGTACAATTGCTATGTAACTGTTCCAAAAGTTAAAGAGTTGCGATGATAAGCATGATTCTCGCTTAAACTCATTAAAGAGCTGAAGAATGGCGGCCATGTCTTCACACACAATGTTAAACCGATCGGCAAGTTCTTCATTAACGTGCATGGTGTACTTCCATCTTCTCAAACTATCGGACAACTTGTCTTCGTTGGTTACTATTTGTTGCTGTTCATCTTTCTTCTTAGCAAGCCATTTCAAAAACGCAAGCCATTGCATTCTTAGAAATGCTACTAGTATCTTGTGGGTGCGAATGCCGCGGTTGTAGAATTAACCCTGGAGTAGTGCTGCAACTGTGGTGCTGCCATACAAGCCAGATTCTGTTAGCAGATCTTCCAGACCACTGTCCTGGAATTTCTTCCCAATGACTGAAAGAATTAAAATTAAGGGCTATATGTAAGCCTCCCATTCTTATAACCATGTCATCAAATTCTTCTGGGAAACGCCACTGTATCTCGATCCTTTGCCGTTGTATAGATGGCCAGGTCAAAGGTTATAACACTGTTCGTTTGTTCCAAAGATCTTGTCATCGCTTGAACGGTCTTGAGTACTGTATACACGTTACTAAAAATAAAATCAGTTGGAGATCCAGATATCATCGGACAGTAGCCAACTGTTGTCTGTACGAAGTTACTAGGAGATACCTTAGCATTAAAACCACTACCAGGTACGGCTTGCTGTTGAACATCAACTTCGGGAGCACATGTTGGCAAGCATTGTCGTGGGTCAAGTCTTAAAGCGATTATTGCAAGAATTTTCCAGTGCTTTCCCCAGTTTCATGATACCTACCGTTATTGCTTGAGTAACAGCAATTGTCTAGAGTAACGATAAAATGTCTTAGAACCTTCGTATTCACCAAATCATGCACGATTACAATTTTGCGTTCTGTTTCTGTTTACCGTTGCCATCTCTCGGGCTTTCTCGCCGTAGCGCGAGACATCTATCACGGTGCAGTAATGCATACCACGCACCGTAGAAATCAGGTCAGAGTGTAAACACAGACGTTCATACTAGCGTAACAGCAGTGTAGTACTAATGCCACGTAAAGTCTGCTATTAGAGAAGCTTGTGGACTGCCAGTCAGATAGTAACAAGGGAATGACAATGACAGAAAGTGCTCTGAATTATTGACATAAAAACAATAAATAATATTTACCACACAGAATTGCATGCCCCTTTGTTTTAATTATGTACACTTGTTTTGAAGACGCCATTTGTAATTTTGAGAGTCGGGACACGATAAAATTTATTGCTGGTATGACGTGGTCAAATCAATTTTTCTATGCTATAACTGCATAAAATCTTGGTGTTTTGAATGTTGGTATAATCAGTGATATTTCCACTGTCAGGTGAGACTATATTCAGCTATATTTAATTTTTCTGAGCCAAAAAACTCGCAATAGTCATTTTAACAGAAACGAGGAAAAATCTCGCCTCTCGATTACTGACCGTGACTCGATACACACCGGGAACGTGTACCATTCCATGTCTACTTTTCTTTGGGGCTTAAAATACAGTTTTTCTAAATATTCTAATGCTTTAGGGAATGTTTTCCATTGTAATTAATAATAAAATGTGGCTATAAATGAATATTTAACACAAAAAAATAGAGAAAGCAACGTACCTCATGTAGACGAAAATTTAAGATGGCTGCCTTGAGAATTAGGGTGTGCTACGATTTCCTTATTTAGGCTGAGAGGGCAATACCAGCGTACTGCCGGAACGTACCGGAACGTACCCTGGACCCTGGTACTATCTAATATGCCGGACCGTACCTCGCCTACTCCACTAACGAGTCTAGGGAGTCGCCTACGCGTACTCCCCAACCCTAACCCTAACCCTAACCATATCAAATAGTTACCAGGGTACGTTACGGCAGTACCCTGGGGTACATAGACCCTATGAGCCTTATTTAGGGCCTATTTTCCGATTCTGCTACTGGACTAAATACGGATGCAGCCAGCACGGTACAATTATGAGAATATAAATGAAGAAAAGAGGAATCGATCAGATGTAACCATGTGGGAGGCACTGTAATTGTAATCTATCCATCAATGCGAATACGTGTATGGCTTTTGAATTCACCTTTATGGACCCTTCCCTTGTAGCTCATCACTTGGCAATACATGCAGGAATAAACACGTATATACTGTACTAATAGCTCTTACCCCATAATGATAGTACACCCGTAGGTGTGTGGGTATTATACGTGCGTCAAGCGATATCGTTCTTTTGTTTTTAAGGAATCGCTTGCATTTGAGTGCAAACCAAGCGTTCTACCTGATCATCAACAATAAAAGTCTGGCCAGCATGTCGACGGTGCTAGCGGAGGTGTACAGGGACGACAAGGACGACGATGGATTCCTCTACATGACCTATGCCTCACAGGAGATGTTTGGTTGAACAAGAAATGCTGGGGACCCTTTCGTGGTGAGATTCTGTAGTTTGGTCATGTTACTTCATGATTCTCGTTGGCAGTAACTTCATGATTCATGTTTCTATAATATGAGTGTAGGATTAATTTTGCACTAGTGATATTATTTGTTGAAGTATGTAGATTCTATTTGAGCCTTGATGGTTCTTATAAATGGTAACATACAATTTAAATGTAAACTCAAGATTAATATAGAAATATAGTACGATTTTGGGCTTCAAATCTTCCCCTTTCAAATAGCATGATTCTTGCAGAGTACTTTTGCTGGACCCTGTACACAATCATATTTAAATGCAGTGCCATCATACCCCACTGATTGATGTTTGGACTGTTGCTGATAGTTATGAGACAATTCTTAACTATTTCAGAAATGACCAAAAGCTAAATTATTTCACACTAATTATAGCCTACATAGCATATGCACTATGCAGCTTAGTGTTTTTGAAGAAGTTTCTCTATTCTCTACTTGATTTTCTTCTTATAATCTCGCTTTCATCCTCCTCGGCCATATTCTCTTTCTACATTTTTGTCTCCTCCACTTATTTCACCTTCTTTACCACCTCCACTGTCTCCACGTCACCTCTCCCCCTCTTGTATGTTCTTCAGTAACTCTGTTTCTCCTGTTCCTTTATCATTCCTTCTGCCTTTCCTCTGTCCTTCCTTCTGCCTTTCCTCTATCCTTCCTTCTGCCTTTCCTCTATCCTTCCTTCTGCCTTTCCTCTATCCCTCCTGCCT